ATTGATCGGTAATGACGCGGCGGCAGCGACGGTGGGTTCGACGGCGACTGCAGAGGCAACAGTGAGATCGGCAACGACTGGGCTGCGAGCTTAGATGTACGGCGCGTGATTGGGTTCGCGAACAGATTGGAGATTAGGTTCGCGAAGAGACGGGCGCCGGACGAACAGACCAGGGCGACGAAGATGTGTAGACAACAAATCTGCGAAGATCGGGCTAGACGAACCGATGTGAGAAGAGATCATCGGACGAACAGGTCAGACGAACAAATTCGGTCGGCGCGATGGTACAGATCTACCACGACAGATTACGGATCTGCGAAAGATGGCAGATCTGTGATGACAGACGGCGAAGAGGGTTGACAGCGATAGCTGGGTCGGTGTGAAGGGATCGCCGAAAAATATCGCCGAGGGTTGACAGCTAGGGTTTCAGGTGACGGCTAGGGTTTTGGATGAAAGCTAGGGTTTTTTTTTGAGAATTAGGGTTTTACTTCCTAAGCTCTGATACCATGTGAATTTGAGAGAAAATATTCTGCTCTATTCAAACATATAACTTAGGTCTTCTTATATAGGAGAATGACCTACTACAAACAAGCAAAGCAATAAATATCATAAAGGCTAAATATTAATAATAAAGACTAAATATTAAGAACTAATATTGACAACTAATATTTACACAAATACTGATAAATCCAACACTTTTATCCATTCATCGTACTCATACACAAATTATTTTCTACTGTGATTTTCAAAATCCCAATTCTCGATCTTCAAATTATTTGCATTTGTGAGAAAGTGTCTGTTGCCTTGTTTTCCAACCTTGGACGATACTGGATCTCGAAGTCATATCCAAGGAGTTTGGAGACCCACTTTTGATATTCAGGTTGCACAATTTGCTGTTCCAATAGATACTTCAGGGCTTACTGGTCGGTTCTTACTACGAACTTCTGCCCGAACAAATACGGTCTCCATCTCTGTATTGCCAATACCACCGCCATGAACTCCTTTTCGTACACGGACTTCCCCTGCCCCTGTCGTGACAAGGTATGGCTATGGGCCTCTGTTCTTGAGTAAGTACAACCCCTAACCCGATTCCAGATGCATCAGTTTCAATGATGAAAGGTAGGCTAAAGTCTGGAAGAGGCAAAATGAGCAAGGTAACCATGGCTCTCTTGAGGGTCTCGAATGCCTCCATTGCTTGATCAGTCTATTTGAAAGCATCCTTTTCAAGTAATTGCGTGAGAGGGGCGGCCAACGAGCCATAATAAGCCATGAATTTTTTGGCGGACACCCAATGCCCCAAGTAATCCATCTTCTCCTCGGCAAACTGACATTTTTTTCAAATTGGCACATAACGAATTGTGCCTCGCCAAGTGAGTAACATTTGTATGCAGATTAAATTAGAATGTCATAAAAAAAAGACCAGAATAAACTTATGTAGGAAGGGGTGGAAAACTTAATTCATAAGTAAGGGGAAAGTGGAGGGAGCGTTTGTTAAACCAAAGGACATCACTAGAAACTCATAGTGGCCCTTGTGAGTCTTGTACGTGGTCTTGTGCACATCCTCAGGTGCCATTTGGATTTGATGATAACCCGATTTGAGATTGATTTTATAGTAGATGTGTAAACAGTGCAACTCATCTAATGGTAGTCGTCACAAAAACTCCAGCTCCCATCCTTTTTTGTCACTAGAATGACGGGGCTAGAATAAGGATCGGTGCTAGGTTGGATAATTTCAGAGGCCAGCATCTCATCAATCATTCTCTTAATTTCTGCTTTTTAGTGTGCGCATAGCGGTAAGGTCTGACCTGGATGGGTGGCTCCCCTTCCTTGATCTGTATTTGGTGATCTATCGATCATTTAGGGGGTAAGTAGTCAACCACCTTAAATATGTCTGCATATTCTGCTAGCAAATCCTGAACCACTTGTGGAATTTCTGGGTAGCAGGCGCTCTCGTTAATGCCCGCAACTCAACCAAGTACACCTGATCAGAATCCTGCCAAGTGCGAGTCGACCGTTTAAGGGAAACTTCAAGGCAAGCGAGGCTGAGGTCCCCTTTTAAGGTTATCTTTGTCCCCTCTTATGAAGGTCATCGATAACGCAGGCCAATCGACCTCCATTTTGCCCATAGATTGTAGCTGTTGCATCCCCAAGATGATGTCAAGGTCATTCAATTCAATGGGTAGAAAATCCTCCATCACGCTGACTCCCGGAAGTTCCACAATCACCCCAAAACATATGCCCTTTCCCTTCATTGCAATCCTTGTTCCCATCACACACCATAATTATAAGTCTCGGATTGGGGAATTTTGAGCTCTGTTACCAATCTCTCGCGACACGAAATTATGAGTTGCACCGCAGTAGACCACCACCTCTCTGCCTTGCACTGTCCCCTTGATTTTGATTGTCCCAGGAGTGGTAAGCCCCACAATATTGTTCAAATGACATTCCACGATCTTACCAGTTTCATTTTCCTCCCTCCCTTCCTTTACAATCTCAGGTTCCTCATCTGCTACCACGAGTTCCTTGTCGTGGACAACGAAAGCCCATAGTTCTTGGTTTCTACAACGGTGCCCTACTGTATACTTCTCTTTGCACCTGAAGCAGAGACCCTGCGGCTTGCTCCTTCCGTTTCTGGTACTCCACCTCAATTAGACACTTGTAAGCCGGTTCTCTCCTCGCCGTGGGCGGTGCTCCAGCGGTTCGGTTAGTGTTGAGTGGCGTGCTCGTCAAGGTCAATGTTCTCGTGGCATTAGGTGTTTTAGGAGCTTTAAATTGAGTCTTAATCGTGGATGGGCCTGATTTAATGGGCTGGTTTGCCTTCCAACCCTTGGGACTCCATGACCAAGACCTCTGCTCTCACGAACGAATCCAAACCGTTTAGGAATGCACTCTCTAGTGCTTCTTCAGACAACTGTGGTAATGAAGTAGCTTCAAAGTTTTGTTGATATTCAGCAACCCTTCCTTCTTGCTTGATCGAAAGGAGTTTCGCGCATTGTCTTCCCTCCTTCGATACCCAAACACGTTCCAATATCCATTTCTTCAAATCTTCCCACACCTTGAACTTGTTCCGATTCTCAGTCCATCGATATCAGGCCAATGTGACCCCATCGAAGCTGATGACGACAACTACCATCTTCTCGGTGTCAGACAACTTATGAATCTCAAAGTATCTCTCTGCACGAAAAAGCCACGAATCAAGATCGGTTCCAGAGAAGATCGGCATCTCAACCTTCTTGGATTTGCTGTGATCATTCCCCTGTTCTGTTGAACTAGAGTTGACACTTCTTCCACCTGCTTTCCCATCTGGATCGACGTCTCCCCTTGCAAGGAAATCGATGGCGTTTGCTCCCTATGATTTCTGCCATGAATGCCTCTAGCGTCCGTTGGATGTTCTCATTGATTACTTATTGATCCTCGGCCTTGACACACAGCGTAGCCATTGCCTCCTTTAATCCGGTGACCTCTTTTTTCGACGCTTCGCAGCATTTCTCCAACTCTTTCTGCGTCATTGTTCTCTTTTTCCCCAGTTCGACTTGCTCTGATGCTAGATGTGACGTATCTCCTCACTTGATTGTATTTTAGAAAACGAAGAAAAAGCCTCAATGGCAGTACAAGCTAACTCACCAATTCGAGGGGGTGGGTAACCTCTCCTTCTAACCTAGCACAAGGCACAAAAACACATACGGACCTTTCCTTACTCTAGGAGGTCCTTAACTAACCACTTGCACAATCATGCACCCTTCCGCTGGGCCCATATTCTCTCTCTAGACCGTTATTCTCTCCCTTGCACATATCTCGACCTACCCCTTATAGAATAAGTTTTCAATATTGGTGGCCTAACAGCTTCATTATCTTCCAATAGACTCAACTGCACCCAACTAACATCATTTGAACTCCACAATGATTTTATAACTTTCTCGTCAAGCTGCTGCAATTTGGTTTCTTGAAGAAGGACAATATCATGGTGGTGCTTCAATATAAACTTCTTAATCTTCAACCTTTTCTTATAATCGCCTATACCAGGAATGTGCCTATACCAGGAATGTTCCACGACAGGATGTTCGTTGAGAGCTTTGAATTTGTACAGGAGTTAATCCGACTTCTTTGAAATAAGAAGGAACAAAGTGATCAAGGATAAGACAAGCAAGTGTCTTGGCCAAGAGATTAACTTCTGAATTCAAGGAGCTTGATTTTCTTGCTGATGCACGGTGATTACGTCAGGAGAAGCTTTGTCTAGGCCAGAGAGATTATTAAAATCCTCTCCATATATGATCCACAGAGTCTTCATGAATGGCCAACCCTCTATAATTGGAGTAGAATCTGGACTACTAATACTTACATTAAATTAATCCTCATCGTCTGATTGCAATTTGTTATTCACAATTATATTTGGTAAGGTATTTGTGGAAAAGACCAAGCCAGTCTGTAATGAGGATGTTTTATTATGAGTTTGGTCTGACCCACGGATATTATTCCTTCCAGAATCTCCACCTCTTACTTCCTTGAAAGCATTAAGAATTGGTGCTTGGAATTCCTTTGGATTTCAACGAGACAAGTCCTTCGGAAAATAATGAAACAAATTTCCTCCTTGAATATGAAAAGGGAAGGGGCGCAATAAATTTTCTGGTCTTCTTTTCGTCTGGCCAAGAAATGCCAATGTTTGGATTTCAATAAATGGGATTTTCACGGGAACTGAGGGTTTATTATTATCTTTTAATTTTTTTTACTTTATTGGTTGATTGTGGACTAATGTTCTATAGATCCCAAGGTTTTCTGTTTCCTTGTTTTATTTTATTTTTGTTGTTTATTATATTTTTTATTTTATGCTTCTGTTTTATATAGTCTTGGGTGGAATTGCTTTATCCTTGGGATATTTCCTTGTATGATGTTTTCTCAATAACCATCTCCTTTTAGTTCCAAACAAAACTTTTTTCAATTATCAACATTTTATTTTTAAAATTTATTCCCACTGATGTGAGTAGTTATTGTGATTGTTGCAGAAGTGGAGAGAAAAAAATATCTGGATCAGTTGTTATATACAGAGCAAGAACTTGCTGCTTCAAGAGGACGTGAAAAAGTTTTGCAAGAGCAATTAATAAAAGAAGTTAATGATTCTGGGGAACAATTGAAAAAGCAAATTCAAATAAACAGTGAACTAGAGGTATAGTTATTTGGATTTGAGGCCTGCAACAAAAGATTTATATTTTCAATTTGGTTGGTTTTTATTTTCTACTCTGAATGAGAATGCTTTATCACTTCAGTTATTGTTATCTTTTGAAGTTCCCTTTTCCCTCACGTTAGCCTGCAAGTTCTCTTGTAGAGATGTATCTAGTATGCCATATTGAATCTTCATATGTATATTGTATACAACTTTTATAGAGGTCATTATAGTCAATTTAAAGAGAGATACATGTTCTGATGTGAAGGATGCTTATATAGTATTTTTGAATCATTATTGACAACTAAAAGTTTTGTTTAGAGAAAGGTCCTGGGCAGAGGTTGGGAAGCTGTTAGGTTTAATACTTCCTTATGGGCATCTGTATCTCGATAATTTTGTAATTATCAGTTCGGGTTTATTCTTCTTGATTGGCGCCCATTTTTGCTTAGTTAGGACTTCAGCTTTGACTCCTTTTGAGGGGCTCGGTTTTTTTGTTTGCCCATTGTATGCTCTTTCTCAATGAAAGCTTAGTTTTTCATTAAAGAAAAAGCCCTTGTGGAACAAGAATTCTAAGTAGGAAAAACTAGGAACATTCATCAATGATCTTATTATCACTAATCCAGGGTTAGTGGGAGGTAAGTATGAACCGGCTGAACCGGACCAAGTGAACCGAACCAGGTGAATCAAACCGGTTGAGCCAAACCAAGTGAACCGAACTGAAAAATTCTGAAAGCAGAAACCCTATCGTGCTAACCCACGACCACCAGAGGAGGAGAAAAAGCAATAGGGACAGACGTCAAATCTCGCGAACCGAGATGAACGGTGATGGTAGCAGGCGGCGACGAGCGGCGAGCGGCGACGGTGGCGCGAATGATAGTGAGCAGCATGGCGAGACAGAAACCACGTCACAAATTACAAATGAACCTGCGAATAGGCAAGGTCGGCGACGACGGCGGTGGCGGCAGTAGTATGTAGTGAGTTGGATACCACTGAACACTTGCAAGAAAGTGTTCCAAACTTCAAACCCTAATGGGCACAAAACCCTAATGGGTACCAAAAAACCTAAGGTTCAAAGAAAGGAAAAAATTTTAGAAGAAACCTAGAGCTCTGAGACCATGTAGAAACTAAGGTTTTAAAGAATCAGATAAGATTATTCTCATTACTGAAATCTATATATATAGACAATAGTTGACCTAATTTTAGAAAAGGAAGGTAAAGGACTAATTAATATGTATGTTACAAGAGTATAAAATATACTAATATATATACTCTAACAGTAGTTAACAACCTTTCTGTTTAGTTATTAAAACTCTGTTAAGTCTGCTGTTTGTTGAAAACAGTTTTATTGCAGTGTTAATAAGCCTTACATCTGAACAATAAGGAAATGAAAAAAAACCTTACGGCTGTTAGGGTTAAAAGCCTTCTAAATTCTCTCTCGATTTGAACTGCACTAATTGAACTGAAATTGTGAGTTATAAAGAATAAATATATCGAGTAATCAGTTTCTTAGTGCTTGTGCTCTCTGTCTGTGATGCCTGCAGTCTTTTTTTTTTTTTAATTTTTATTTTATGCAGAATATTATCTGTTTATCATGTTGGTCTCTAAAAGGATACATGATACATTATTAATCTCTTGCTTTTGGGTTTAGATAAAGTTGCAAAATGAATCAAACCTTCGGACGAAAGCTGAGTCTTCAATTGCATCATCAGAAGAGAAAGCAAGTCTCTTGGAAGATAAATTAAATCATCTTTCTCAAAGCATAGAAAGAGAAAAGAAGCGTCTTCATAATGAGCTTGCACAGTTAAAAGGAGAATCAAAGCTTTCTGTTTCTAGAATAAGTGCAGATGTAAGTTGCCACTTGTCATTAACAAGATCGTATTTTCCTTGAAAGAAGTTCTTGCAGATAGTACAAACTTTTGTTATAAAATATCATTTCACATTTATTTGCTCAGCATGGTATACCATCCTGTTTAACTTGTCCCGATTATCTTTCTTGTAGCTGGAAAAGATGGTTTGTAGAGCTAGTAATGCTGAGAAGGAATCCGAGCTACTAAAAGAGCAGTTGGAAGACTTGAAGAAGCAACTCAATGAGGTTTGTAGTATTCATAATTATTAATATTTATGGGGTTCTATGAGAGGAGTAACCCACTTATATTATAAACTATTATTAGGTCCCTTACCTTATCAATGTGGGATCCTTAACAATAATTATTTTTGTTACGTTTTTAGAGAGAATTTGGCTGAAATTTCTTATTCTTTATTTTTTATTCTACCTTGGTGCAACTAAATTGCAAGTATTCAGACAAACTTGCCTGCACCATGAAGAATTTCATGGTACAACCACTAACCCTGCTATATTTGGTGTTTGAAGAACTTGTGGTTGCTAATTTCATCTCACAATCACTTAACCCTACTATATGTGTTTTCCCTCTTGTATGGTCCTCCCCATCCAAACCCTTCTTTGTTTTCTTTCCTGTGAGGGTGAGGGCCCAAAGAAAGTTAGGGTCTAAGAAGCATTGAAGACAGATACGACACAACACAGACACAATGACATACTAATTTCCAAAAAAGTAGGACACGATACGCTGGGACACATTAATTTTTTTTATATAAAATATGGTGGCAGAGATGAGAAAGAAATTGATCGGTATTGAAGGCCGATCAAAACAGTCTCAAAACTCTGGTACCATGTCAAATGATAAGAAAAATGCTTCTTACTCTGAAGAATTGATACAAGTGTAGACTAAAGTCAGCAACTACAAGGAAAAATCAAAAAGGAAAAAAAAACCTTTGCCTATTAGAATAAGAAAATTCTTACCTATTAGAAACCGGATGCAATAGAAAAATAAAAGAAAATAATAATATAATTTAACACTTACTGCTCCGAAACATGAAAGGTGAGGCAGTGCATTAAAGACCTAACAATAAGGACTCTTTAGCTTCCAAATTCCTCATAAAAACGGAATAAAAGAAGACCATAAAAAATACTATACTTAAACCTGATATCAGTCGGAAAAGGGATAAAAAACCCAGGGATAAGAAGAGCCACTTCCCAACAAAAGCTAATTGAAACCGAAACAAACATTCTCGCAAAAGGGGAGAAACAATAATGAAGAAGCCAACAAAGACCTTTCCACTTCAAACTCCAATCTTAAAAATAGAATCTTCATTGTTTCCTATTAAATGGTAGAAGAGTGATGCTGAGAGATTCAAAATATGAAGGAATTTTCAGGTTTTCCCATAGGATTCCTAGTTGAAAGTTCTTCTTCATCTAGTTGTTCTACTTAAGGTCGTGTTCTTATCAATTTGCGAGGTTCTTATCACTAGTATTATTGAGATTAATAGTTGGTGTAGAAAATCAAGCTGAAGTTGAACCAATTCAGCTAGAAATTAGGGAGTCAGCTAAGATTTTGTAAACTAATTTACTTCTTTTTAGTTCATATGGTTAGAGTCTCTTATATAAATATGAGTAAATATGAGTGTTACTCACCACCTAGGGAATAACAAAAATCTTTCTACTATACAAAGCTTCATGGTATCAAAGCTTTGAATTTTTTTTTCCTCTCAAACCTTAGCTTCGTCGTTGGAACCCTAGCCGCCATTGTCGAAACCCTAGCCAAGCCGGACTAGCTCTCTTCCTCAGATGAAGTTGCCGCCTCTGTCGTTGCCCTCAGACGAAGCCGCCATCGCTCTGCCTCCGTCACTGCAGCCGCCGCCGCCATACCTTTTTTTTTTCCCTCTAGACAGTGACCTAATTGTTCTCTTTGTTTCCTCTTATTTATTATACAATGTTAGGATCAGAATCACAAATTTCCATTTCGCCCTTCACTGAGAACAACCATGCTCAGGTAACATGTCACAAACTCAAAGACCATAACTATCTCTAGTGGTCCCAATTTGTGATGATGTTTATGTATGATCATGGGCGAGAAGATCACATCACAGGCAAAGCAGTTTCACCCAAGGCTGATGATCTAAAATTTCGCACATGGAGGGCCGAAAACAACCAAGTAATGAGTTGGTTAATCAACTCCATGACCACCGAGATTGAGGAGAACTTTCTTCTATTTTCAACTGTTAAAGAAATTTGGGATGCAGCTCGGGACACATCTCCCATAAGGATAACACTGCTGAGCTTTTCTAGATAGAGACCACTTTTCAGGATCTCAAACAAGGTGACTCATCTGGTATACTTTATTATACCACCTTAACTTGTCATTGGCAACAGTTAGACTTGTTTGACACTCATGACTGGAAATGTTCTGTTGATGTTGCTTTCTTCCGAGAAATTGTGGAGACAAAAAGGATTTTCAAATTTCTTATGGGCCTTAATACATCTCTTGATGAAATTCGTGGTTGAATCCTTGGTTCTACGCCACTTCCCAGTCTTCGAGAAGTTTTTTCTGCAGTCCGTCGAGAAGAAAGTCGAAAACAAATAATGTTGGGACCCATTGAACATTCTCTCGCTCAAAGTGGATCTGCTCTCATTTCCCAACATAATTACCAGAATAATCCAATTGCTCTCGCTGCTCGAAGAAATTCCTAACCATATGGTGATAGTCGGTTGTGCAAAGGGCGACCGTGGTGTGACCATTTTCATAAACTGGGACATATCAAAGACACTTGTTGGAAATTACATGGGAAACCAGCAAATTGAAAGCCAAATACAGCCAAATCGGATTGAGAACCTAGGGGCAATGCTGCTTTCTCTGAAAATTCTAACCAACAATCACTTACCAAAGATTTGTTAGACATGTTACAATAACTCTTGAACAAAACAAATCCACTGACAGTAAGTAGTTTTGGGAATGCACCCCAACAAGGTAACCAGAATCCCATGGCTCTCCATACTCAAACTATTCCATCTGAATGGATAATGGACTCTGGAGCATCAGATCACATGATCATGTGATAGATCCTTGTTTTCATCTTTTTCACTTTATACGGGTAATCATTCCATTCACGTTGCCAATGGTACACCTGCTAAAGTAATTGGGATTGGAAGTATTCGAATATCAAGCTCCTTAACTCTTGAATCAGTTTTATTTGTGCCAACATTGGAATATAATCTACTTTCTGTGAGTAAGCTGAATAAGGACTTAAATTGTGAAACTAAATTTTGTACCAAATCTTGTATTTTTCAGGATCTGGAATCAGGGAAGATGATTGACAATGCTGAATTGTGTGTAGGGTTGTATCTTCTTCAAGCAACATGTACTCTACCAACAAAGAGAAGAAGTAAACTTGTAGTTCTATGTCATCGTGAGTCTGCTTGTGTTTCTAAGTCTTTGAATAATTCAAATAAAAATAGTAGTCTTGTCATGTTGCTGCACTATCATCTTGGTCATCTCAACTTTGTGTACCTTGAACATTTGTTCCCTTCTTTATTTCTCAATAAAAAGAGTCAGTTTCTTCGGTGCGAAATTTGTGAACTCTCCAAGTACACACGTGCTCATTTTTCACTTCATACTTATTCTCCATCCCAACCTTTCTGTCTTATTCATGGAGACATTTGGGGACTTTCAAGAGAGAAAAATATCAAGACAAATTGGATTTTGCTGTTTGCTACACCCGGTTGAGTTGGACATTCCTTATGAAAGAGGAATCTAAGACTAGCCACCTATTCACAGTCTTTCATAAAATGATCCAAAATCAGTTTCAAGTTAATATCAAAGTACATAAAACTGACAATGCTCGTGACTTTTTCAACTCTACTCTTGGATCCTACCTTCAATCTCATGGTATTATTCATCAGAGTTCTTGTGTTGACACACCCTGACAAAATGGTGTAGTTGAACGCAAAAATTGTCATCTTCTCGATGTAGCCCGATCCCTCATACTCACATCACACGTTCCAAAAACTTTTTGGGTGAAGCTATTCGAACTGCTACCTATCTCATAACTCGACTACTCTCCTGCATTCTCAAATTCAATACACCTTTACAAAGTCTACTTACACTCTATTCTACATCCCATCTCGTGTCTCCACTACTACTAAACCTATTTGGACGACTATATGGATGTACTGATTTTGTTTATATATATTCTCAGCATCGTAGTAAACTCGATGCATGTTCCATGAAATGTATCTTTATTGGATACTCACTGAACAAGAAAGGATACAAATGTTATCATCCTCCAACTCACCAATTCTTTCATACCATGGATGCCACCTTCTTCGAGAATCAACTACAGTTTTCCAATTTTGTCGTTCAAGGGGAGCATTATGATCTTGAACCATTATGATCTTGAACCACATAATTGGGATTGCAATTCTGCCTTTCCTGACCTTCTTTTCAACCCATCTCCCAGAAATCCTAATCCATATCCTGAAAGTCCTTCCAAAAGTCCTCTCATGTCCTTGTCTGAGTCAAATCCCATATCTATCCCCGAGCTTGAAATGCAAGTTTATTTGCAAAGAGTAAGACAACCTGAGAGGAACGGGATACTACCTACACAAATTCAGCAATGCCAAAATCTACACCAGAATCCTAGTGTCCCTAAGATAGTACACGAGACGACAAGTGATGATTTGAACAAACCCATTGCTGTACGAAAAGGTGTTCGTTCATGTACTCAACATCCCATACGATATTACTTCTCTTATGCTAACCTGTCACCAATTTATAGAGTATTTGCGACTTCACTAGATCAGATACAAGCTCTCAACACAGTTCAAGAAGCCTTACAACGACCTGAATGGATAGTAGCGACTTTAGAGGAGCTTCAAGCTCTTGAGAAAAATGGGACATGGACTCTTATAGAGTTACCCCCAGGTAAGCGCACAGTTAGATGTAAATGAATTTATATGACCAAACACAAACTAGACGACAGTATAGAGCAGTCAAAGTTCGTCTTGTGACTAAAGGATTCACCCAGTCATTAGGGGATTGATTATCAGGAAACATCTGCTCCGTTCGTCAAGTTGAATACTATTCGAGTACTTCTCTCTATTGCAACAAACCAAGGTTGGCCATTGTTTCAACTTGGTGTGAAGAATGCCTTTCTAAATGGTGATCTATTGGAGGAAGTGTAGATGGATGTACCTCCTGGATTTGAGGACAAATATACTAGAGGAAAGGTGTGTAAACTCAAAAAGTCTCTATGGACTAACGCAGTCGTCTTGAGCCTGGTTTGAATTGAAACAAGATGGCTATACTCAGTGTCAATCCGACCACTCTTTTCATCCAGCATTCCTCGTCGAGTAAGATTATTGTGTTAATCATATATGTTGATGATATAGTTCTCACAGGAAATGTTTCTGAAGAAATAATTTGGCTAAAACAACTCCTCGCAAGAACATTTGAAATCAAAGATTTGGGACATCTCAGATACTTCTTAGGAGTGGAAGTAGCAAGATTGAGTAAAGGAATTTCTGCCACTCAACGAAAATGCGCTTTAGATCTCTTAAGGGAGACTGGGATGAGTGGTTGCAAACCAATTGATACACCTATGGATGCACTATGGATGCAAATTCAAAACTTGGAGTTGATCCCAAAGATGAACCAATTGATCGAGGCAGGTATCAACGACTAGTCAGAAAGCTAATATATTTGGGACATTAGCTTTGTTGTTAGCGTGGTAAGTCAATTTTTGAATAAGCCTTCTAAGGAACATATGGAAGTTGTGTATAGAATATTGAGATATCTCAAGCATGATCCTGGAAAGGGTCTTATGTTCAGAAAGGCCACAAACAGATCTCTAGAAGTCTACACTCATGCAGATTGGGCTGGATCTCCTGTTAACCGTAAGTCAACATCAGGATATTGTTCCTATGTACGGAGAAACTTAGTAACTTGGCGTAACATAAAGCAACGAGTTGTAGCCTGAAACAGTGCTGAGGTTGAATTTCGATCATTAGCAAATGGGATATGTGAAGGAATTTGGCTAAACGCCTTCTTACTGAACTCAAGATCAAGAATAAGGCACTATAGAGGTATTATGTGATAATCAATCTGCCGTAGCCATTGCAAGAAACCCGATACATCATGATTGAATGAAACACGTCGAGATAGATCGTCACTTCATCAGTGAGAAGATTGAGACAAATACAATCGATTTGAGATATGTGCCTTCCCAACAGCAAGCTGATGACATATTAACTAAGGCCTTACACCAAATGGGACTTGGGAGGCTTATTTCCAAACTTGGAATTACTAGCATATACCATCCAGATTGAGGAGTACAGAAAATCAAGCTGAAGTTGAACCAATTCAGCTAAAAATTAGGAAGTTAGCTAAGATTTTTGTAAACTAATATACTTTTTTTTTGTAAAAATATGGGTGTTACTCACCACTTAGAAAATAAGAAAAATCTTTGTCCTGTATAAAGCTTCCGTTGGTATTTTTTATTGAACAAGAAACAACTTTTCATTGATAGATGAAAAGGAGAAAAAATGTTCAAAGATACAAACTCCGGAAGGAGTGAGAGAAAAAGAGGACCGAACAAAGCAAATGAAAAAGAGGACCGAACAAAGCAAATGAGAAAGAGGCTCACAAGGAGCAATACAATCAAAATAAGAACAAAAAACAAGAAATCAAGACAACAGAGACCAAAAATCTTCCAACATGAGTCTTGAGACAACACAAAACTTCAGAACTTAAATTGATGGTGAAGAGTTCGAATAAGTATAGTTCTCAATAGTATCCTGCAAATCCTTGGGCGTTGGATATGGAGGTCCCGAATATTGTTACTCAAGGCGATTCTTATCTCCTAAAGCGAGTCTTCTTTGGGTAAACGGGGTTAAAGCCATCATTTCAGAACTTTGGTTTGAAAGGAACCAAAGGATTTTTGAGGAAAAAAGAAGACCTTCGGTGGAGTGCTTCAATTTGGCTAAGTTTAAAGCTTCTCAATGGAGTGCTCTTTCCAAGCTTTTTGCTCTCTATTCTCCTAATATGATTTGTACTACTTGGGTGGCTTTCATCTTTCCTATATAGTTTTGTAAAGGATGTTGATTAGATCTTATTTTCCTGATTTTATGGGTTGTTCTTTTTAATTACTGCTATATTTTTTCACTCCTTCGGGAGTTTGTATCTTTGAACAGTTCATGTGCCTTTTCATTAATCAATGAAAAGTTCGTTTCTTGTTAAAAAAAGCTTTAAGTAACTGAATTCGCTCCTAATGTGAGAAGGATAAAAGTTGAATTTTTCTTGTTGAATTATGGCTGATGCTTTGTTTAGAGGAGATGTAGACATCCAACTTGGATGGAGATTAGCTAGAGATGAACTTTAAAGAAGTAACAATGTTATCCTTTAAGAAAACCAGAGGAGAAGACATAGAAACAAGCGGATATGTTGACAAAGATGAGAGAACCTGAAAGCAAACTTTGAGGGAGGGCGACCATAATCGGATTGAAGAATAAATAGACAAAGGAAGACCTTTGGGAAACTAAAGACCTTTCACTTCTCAAATGCTCTAAAGCAAAAGTTCTTCAAAAAATCTAACAACCAACCAAGCAAAATTAAAGCTTTTGCCCATTCACTTCCCAATAAGAATTGAAAGCTACAAAGAGAATAAAGTCTGATGAATTTCTAGAATGACTCCTTAAATTATTTTGTATTTGATGAAATGCTTTTCATTTTATCTTCATCATCTTCTAATGGTACTGCGACTCCAATGTTTTTATATTTCATGGTGGTATTGTTACTTTCCACAGTGTTTATCCCAGAAGAGCGAACTAGAGAAGAAATTAGCATCTTTGACAGTCAACGAAGGTACAAGCAAGGAGAGCAATATTTTGATTAAGCATCTGCAAGAAGAGCTAAGGAACTGTGTAGGGGTTTCTTCTTATTCTATAGTATAAATCTTAACGTTTACTAGAAGCTAGTTTCTCTGTTTCCTATAAAATAGTAAAACTTATATGAGAAGCTATTATTTATGTAGACCATTGTAGGATCAATGCAAGTACTACTGTATTTACCAAACCTTCATTGCATGATTTTAACTTAAGTGTCTATTGGGACAGATGAATTTGACTCTTTCGGGATATTTGCTTGTAAATCCTTAAGTTTTCTCCTTGTTATTAATTTGGCATGCCATAGTACAAAACTAAATTGAAACTCTCCAGAGATATTCTCTAATTTAAACATTATGGATTAGTTTAAATTGGAGATTCTGAAACTATGTTTCGAATTTGTTAGACTTGTTGGAGTTGTTAGTAGGGGTGAGCAAAACACCCCGAAAAACCGATCCGAACGATAAAAACCAACCGAACCGACGATGAGTTGGTTTGGTGGATAATTCGGTCGGAGTCGGTTTTTCATTTAAAAAACCGACTTGTTAGTCGATCGGTTTGGTCGGAAGAGTGATTTCCGACCGAACCGACCGATATCCAACCAAACCGACCGATATTTATTAAAAAAAAAGAAGAGGGCAGACTGCATTAAATGCAGTCTGCCATGCATGCTGCTGCAGTAATTACTGCAGCAGCTGAACCAGTGGCTCAACCGTTGGCCGGCTGGTTTCCAATGTTCCATTAAAATTTTT